TCATGATAGTGGTAGGGAGGAAGCACTAAAGAACTAGAGGAAAGTTGTGTTTCATCGTTGCTACACTGCATCCTGACTGGCTCGTCTCCTCCCCAAGACCCTTCTGTAAGGGGATGTCCAGTTGCCTCCAGATGGGCTTTGGGTTTCCACTCCGTATTCCCCCTCATTCACATTGGGTATGATTTTGTTCTGGGTCTTAGATGCCTAATACCTGATCCCATCACACCTCATGATTGCACAGGCTGGTGGACTTCTTCCATGTGGGCTTTGTTTCTTTTCAGCTAGATGGCAGCTTGTTTATCTTCAAGCCTTTAAGACCCCAAATGCTATATTTTTTGATAGCCAGGCGCCATCAGCTTTCTTTACCACATTTGCTCAGGCACCCACGTTGTCTTCAGCGATCATGTCGGAAAGGTTTAATGGAATGCCAGGTTAATAGAACAAAGTGTTCTTGAATTGAGGGAGTACTTGAGTAGAGGCCCAATGTCCATATCCTACCTTAATACTAACTCTATAAACATATGCACATAGATCTATTTCCCCATCATATATAAATATACTTGCATATATTTATGTAAATATATATATTTACATGCCTGTATTTAGACCTCTATAAATGTCCTTTGCCTAGTTCTTTCCTCTATTTTCTTTCACTTTCTTCTTGTCCCACTATCATGTTCAGCCTTCATTTGGGTTTCAGTAATTCCTTTCGGTTACATTGCCCTTGATCAAGCCCTACCAGGCCTCCTAAACTTTTAAAGGGGTCAGTGTGACTAGCTAATAAATGTACCTAGTTAATAACTCCTGCTTTATAATTATTATTAGCAGTGTGCCATCTCAAACCACTGCATTTTTACGGCTAATAAACCAAGCTCTTACATCTAAGAATTATGAACTCAAATGTTGGTTTTCTAGGCCCCTCCTTCTGTAATTTCTCTACACCACAGTACTTGGCATTGGTATTGACACCATTTTCTTAAAATTCCTAGTGATTTCTGTAACACTGGCATCTCCCGATTTACATTTCTCTTAAGCCTGTCCTTTGCTTTCCGTTATTTAAAACATATCCCACCAACATCCTAGTGATGTCGTCACCAGGCTAAGGAAACTGCTTTGCCAGGATCAGCCATGATTTCAGAATGACTACATCGAATGAACACTTTCAATCCTGATCCTTCGGGTCCTCAGGACTTACTGGCCAGCGGGCTTCCTCCCCTACCCAGCTACTTCTTTAACAGATCCCTTGAAAATGCAGCATTGCTCTGGGCTTGTCCCCAGCCTGGCTCTACACACTCAGATCTTTATCTCAGGCCTAGGATCCAGACTTCACACATACACAGCCACTTAGAGTCTCCATCTGGAGAAGTTTTAAGAACCCTGTATTCACCAGGCCCCAAACGGATCTGATCTTACCCATTTCCACCTGTTCACCACCCTCAAGGGAGGAGACCACTGTCTGCCTTCTCTCTCAGGCTAGACATCTAAGAGCACCCTCCTTACTGTCCAAACAGGTCAGTCACCAATCAGGCGCCAAGGACTGCATGACTAAACATTTCGAGAATCCCTGCCTTCTTCTCTTCATCTCTACAACTACTGATCTTTCAGCACCTTTCCCTTGAACTACCTTGACAAAGATGCTGTTAGGTGTCCCGGGTCACTTCTGACTCACTGCGACCCCCTGCTGACACCAGACGGAAACACTGCCTGGTCCTGCGCCCTCTGCACAACGGTTGCTAGGCTTAAACAGATTGTTATAGCAACGGTGTCCATTCATCGCCTTGAGGACTTCTTTTTTGCTGAACTCTACCAAGCACCATGCCATTTTCCAGGGACTGGTCATGCCTGAAAACATGCCCAAAGCATAAGACAGATGTTTGTCTGGCAGCCCATGGTACTGTCAAGATTCCTCATCAGCATCATCGTTCAAATGCACTGATTCTTCTCGTTTTCTTTATTCACTGTTCAGCTTTCAAATGCATATGATGCAACCGAACAGACCATGGTTCCGGTTGTTTGCACTTAGTCCCAAGCTTCACTCTTCACAAAATTACTATCGTAAAACTTCTG